ATGAAAGTTCACCATAGCAGTGCTTTGGTATATGAGTTTGTAATTGATGAAAATAAAATTTTAGTTTCCTGGGAATCAGGCATTTCCTTTTAAAGATTTATGTTTTTTACCAGTTTTAAGTGTGGCAAGAAGAGTACATGTAAGAATGCAAGACCGATTTTGGTAATCGTGATATGTGTTGCAGTTGTAAATAGTGTAGCTGAAATGAAATGGAAAGTTCTGTGTAAAATAACTACACATGAATGAAAGAATAAAGGAAAGCGCTGATGTTGTATTCATGTGGGCTGTTTGTTATTACTCTTTAAAAAATGCTGCGTAATTCCATAATAAATGGTAATTTTATTTAGCATGAATTTGCTTGAGTTTGTGTTACAAATGGCTTCGTTACTCGCTCTCCGTGACAGATGGTGAGCTAAGCTGTCATGGTAGGATAAGCGAGCATGTTCGCTTAAATTCTTCAGAGACCGAAATATGCTCTCATAGGAGGAACCCCAGTTTGGTTTCTGTATCTGATTAAAATTAACGCTTCTGCTATTTATCAATCGTGTGACTTTTATTCGTTACTTCCCAAAATATCTGTTGGTTTAAAATAACGATGTCGAACGCCAACGTGGCGGACGTGCATTTCGTCTCAGTCCGTTGATACTTAGCAGTGTCATAGCTACATCGCCTGCGCAAAGTGAGAGGAAGTGAAAGCTTATGTAGCTTGAGAGAAATCTCTGTTTAAACTAGATGTGCATTTTTCCGATTACTCTAAACCGTGAAACGTACCTCTTTGTAGTTTTAAGTCTCTTTGTTTTAGTAGTCTGCACACCGTTCGTCGCACAGTGTTGCAGCGGTACTGTGAGCACAAGGTACTGTGCAGGACACTCTTTGCCAATGCTTACCAGAAACAACTGTGAAACTAAGACGCCATCTTGCTTTAAACATAAACCATTTTCACCATGCGTTGTCCCGCAAGTTTGAGGTTGTGTTCACTCAGGTACACACCTCAAAACGCAGCGCACATCCGAGTGTAAGACAATGCGTTTGAATGTCACATGTTCACTCGTGCGTTTTCTTAGGCACGTGATTTGCGTTTGAGTCAGTATTGCACGTGAACTTTGCTCTCAATGTTCCTTTTTTCACCATCGTTTGGTTAAGAAAACGTAGTCACTTTTTTTTGCATTAAAGAGAGAAATGCGGCAAATTTTCTCGACGACCTTGATTTTCCTGCTACATTAAGTAACAAGATTTCCGTACAGCCACATACTTCATTGTGCATATACCTCATGGATAAAGAAATCAATGGCAAAAATGATATATTGCCGCCTTGGGGAGTACGGCTCGTTTTATAACTGGAGGACTCTCGCAAATCACGACGGCAACGAGGTCGTGGCAAAAAAAAAGAAATCTCATGGGCAGGACAATATTTCAGCACGTGCGTTTTTAACCTTGTACATTTCTTAGCCGTCTTCTGCTAAACAACGGCGTGAAATCACCAAAATTTGCGTCGTCTGCGAATGATGCAGCCCTTAAAAATAAACGCATAGAGGATGAAAAACATTATGAATAAATGATAAAGGACCTAAAACAGTCAGCGAGCAGCGCCGAGGAAGACGTCGATTAAAAAAAATAAATTTATATTTCATGTCATGATCATAAGAATTTCGGGAATGCCCGGTTGTGTTTACCGGCGTCCCTTACGGTGCCACCCTTCAACATTAGCATAACGTATGTGAGCAGTGTTAAGTTCCAAATGGAAACCCTTGGTCGGGGTGTCCGTTCTCAGACCGCACAAAATTTGATTCTATTTTGGTGATATAGCGTTGCTTTTACAGGAGACGGCTAAGAAATGTACAAAGTTTTACAACGCACGTGCTGAACTATTGTCCTGCTCATTAAATCTTGTTTATTTTGTCATGTCCTCGATGCCGTTGCCGTCGTGGTTTGCTTATTAAGGTTCCTAAACTAATTCTTATTTAGGTTCCACGAAAACACGTATAAATTATTGACTGCAGGTGGTTTAGTTATGACTATTTTCTGTTCAACTTTCATGCCTAATAGCCTTTTAGAATGATTTACTTTAAGCTCTGCTATCTGTTACTTATGTTAATAATATGTTTTCATTTAGAGGTAAGTAGCTCATGACGAGAAATGAGTGTCAACTTCAGAACCGGGGTGTACTTACACCCATTTTCAACTACTTTAAGGAAAATATTGTAATATTGAAAAGCGTTCAAAGGAAATCTAATAAAAAATTTCGCTAAGGTTTTTTGTTAATCAGAAAATTCTACCACCTCAGTTTTCTATGTATAATCAAATTGTTATAATTTTTAATCCCGATATGTTGATCATGAAAGCAAAACGCTTCGTAATGCTGTCAAATATTGGTTTCTGACAACGTTGAAAAACATGGAGAATTGATGTCAAAAAGAAAATTCTAATTCACGCCATATTTAATCACCTGTGACTCACAAATAAAAATCTTATTACTTTTAACAGGGATATTGATTATGGCAGATACTAGAGAACAAATAAAACGCTTTTCTCCCGATAAAACTTCTTCAATTACTGCAACATAATACGACGAGAAGTTTTCATTAACGTTACCGTTGTTTAAAGTGATCATAAATTTCAGTGTCCTTTTAACTGACATATTCCTTAAAATAAAATTCATATTTTTTTAAGGAGAAAAGATTGAATTATCTAAGAATAATAAAGCGCTTTAATCAATGGTCCTTTTAGTTTAACTACAGATAATTATATTCGTCAATCACTCTGACGAAGGGCTAACGCTCGAAACGTCAGCCTTTTAACTCTTTACGGTGGCCAATTTACGTTTTCAACTCAGTTGTTAACACGCCTTTTATATCTCTGGCTCACTTCTGCACGTCCTGTGTCGGCTTCTTGGTCTTAGAATATAAATTGTATGTACATGGATACTGGAAGAGACAGGTAGTGCCAGTCCCTTGTATTATCCATGGTTGGTTCTTTTCTGACGAGTTTATTTACATTGAATATTAGGAGAGGCTGAAGGAAAGCGGTTCAGAATTAAGTTTCTAAGCCTTTCAACTTTGATTAATTACAATCATCTAAAATTAGCTAGAGATCGATGGTAAGGTGTCTGAAATCGAACGCACTCGCTCGTCACCAGCTATCAGTCTTTCAAATTAAATGCTGCCCCCCTGATATTCTTGTTATGATTTGTTCTCACTTGCTAATCGGATCAGACGGAATAATTTGCACTGGAATCTTTCCTGATGTCTGGTAACGGCTATTAGCCAGTCCTACATTTTATTAATCCAATTTCACTTTCTCCCTGTGAGAGACGAGAAAATCTCCTATTCTTAGCTCCTACATATTTGCTGCAGGGTTCGACCAATCCTCTGCCTCCCTCTATTCAATCTCCATAAGTTTCTGTGAAAGTTGTATGCGAGAAGCTTGAAGAGAAAGTTAACGAGTGCGGAAGCCCCCACCGAGAGAAACGTTATCTTCATCATTTGTAATGCGCATCGGAACATATTTATATGATATATGTACAATTTATAAAAGAACTGAGGGGCTACGAGCGCCATTGAAAAGTTGGTTTATCACTCTCCTCCGGCTCGTGGTTTATAAATTTTCCGAGCTTTTCCGCCTGGGTCATTACGCCAGTAAACCGATAGAAAGTGCGATCTGTTGCTTAGATTTCTTTAGATAGAATTCTTTCTTCATTATTTTTATAAAGATAAAAAAGTTAGTGGAGTGTTAAAAGCCGCTCGAAACGTCAGAGTTTAAAATTCGTTATGGCGACTACATACTACTTGATCATCACCTTTGGGGTGATAAATATTAATTGGTCCTCAGTCATTGACGTCAATCCTTTCTTAGAATTTCCGTGGCACTTGGAATGAAATTCGCCGATATGTGTCTAACATGGAGGAGAAAACTCTAGCATAAACATGCAGCGTATTTATGGCAGAGCCATTTCGTAATACTTTGAATATCTTCTTGTACCGAGTGAAAATACCTTTGCCTTAAAAAAGGAGACAAAAAAATTAGTTCGTAACGTTATGAGAAGATTAACAAGATTGCAAAGGGCAAACTTTTGGCGTCACCCTTTAGATTAAAGAGGTGTTCACTGAAACACCGGTCACGGACTTACAGCTAAGTAGAGTGCTTAAAACTTTGGAAAAAAATATTCAATTATGCCCGAATTAAACATCGATCTTGTTTCCCTTGTAAAAATGCTTTCAAAGGTTTGCCCTCATGCTTCAAAAATTTCACGATTTCGAAAATTTTCCTGGAAACACTCTGCCTTCCTATACGGAATACTTAACTGACTAACTGATATCATTAAGCGCCGAAAAATATGGGACGCTTTCTTTTTAAAATGAAAGATATATTTAAAGCAATCCATTTAATCAATATGCATGGTTGAGATCCATAGTCAAATGAAACCACAATTTTCTTTTAGCGCGCGTGACATTGTTTGATGAAAGTGTTACAACTCAAAGCCAGCCACCTGGAATATTTACATATCTTTTTTTTTTTTTTTTAAATCTCTTGTTTGACGTAATCGTTGTTTTCCCGGATATCGATGCTTGGTACTTTCTAGGAAAACACAATAATGCCATGGCCGGCTTCCTGTTGTTCTGTGTTGTAGGGTTAATTAAGCAAATAACCAAATAAGGCAAGGTGTCAAAGAAATCGTGACATATCGTAATATTAATTTTGCCTAGCGAAGCATTTTCACTTTTTATCTTCGGCTGAGAATATTCCATCGTCGAAGAAAGTTTTTATTTTTTGGTGAAGGAATTATCAGGTAAGCGAATGCAATTTCTTGATCGGAGGCGATCAACTGTTTGTCCCTATTTCGACCACTCAAATAATTTTTATAATTTCCTTAATAACCTTCTGTGTCTGAAAAAATTTCCCGGTTGAATCGCCCTTCTTTGTGAGAGGATTTCCAACGTAGGGCGTCGTAGTTTGTATTGACACTCAAGCTTTTTTCATCATTTGTAATTTTATTAAGTGAAACCATGGAAAAGGCTTCTGAAAGCAAAACAGGTGGAGAAACCGTTGAGAATTTTTCAGCTCGGCCGTATCAAGTGGAGCTTCTGGAGCGGGCGAAGAAAAGGAACACTATCGTATGTCTAGGCACGGGAACTGGCAAAACGTTTATAAGTGTCATGCTCATAAAAGAACTCGCTCATGAAGTAAGAGGAAACTATAAAGACGGCGGGCGAAGAACTTTCTTCCTTGTAAATACAGGTATCTATGTATGTTTCGTCTTTCTGAGATCGGCTTTACCTTGGGGGAGTGGGTACGATATCTCAGCGCGGGTTGGGCCGGGGTTGTGAAGAGGGGTACGGGGTAGTGGCAGTCCTCGCATACGGTTTAAATACAATTCAATGAAAATAGAGGAAATGATCATAGATCTTTCCTTGTTTTAGTCTGATTATGATATATTTGAACTTTCGATGCCAGAAACTAAAATATAAGATCAAGAATGTGGTTTACATTCTAGTAAAATCTTTATTTCTTTAAAGAGGGTAGCACTTAATAGCCAAAAGGCTAATAAACTTGAGGCCCTTATAGAATACATATGATATTACTAATACAAATTTAGATATCAGTAAGTAAAAATAAATGCATTATTAAAGAAATAAAAGAACAGTTAAAAAATTAAAAATCCTATGATAAAATCTAACATAAAGTAGATCTCAAGGATTAAATGACAGAGTCATGAAACTGTAAAAAGGGACCTATTAAACTATAAAATGATTCAAATTCTGTTGACTTCTGAGAAAAAATTGCCTTAAAGCATTTTTAAAACTTTGTACAGATGTCTTCTGTCATAAGGTGATAAGTAAACTGTTCCATAGTTGACATATGGTAACATTGAAAGTTTTGCCGCCAACTAAGTTACGTTTTAACTTTGGGCATACTAAGTTATAGTTTGCATTCCCAGTGTTACAAGAGTGAAGAACACTATTATATGTTAAAAGGCAAGTAATAAACGCAAATGATTCTCCTCGTAGTCTCTTAAATGCAATTAGACATTTGGAAATTTTAGCCTCCTCATGAAAAGATAACCAACTTAAATCATCCAATAATCTGACAGAAGAGACCTAAGAATCAGCATCCATAATAAGTCTAGCTAAATGCTTCTATAATCTCAGCGCTCTACCTAAAAGGTCCTTTTTACCATTGGTTCAAACAAGAGCAACTTAATTTAATACTGGTCTCATCATGCTCTCATAATATCAATGTCATTACTTCATGTGTTGAGAAAGTTTTTTACAAACATTTTCAACATAAGAAGAGAAAGATGAAGTGTCTTTATATTGAGCAGATGATGTTAAAGTGGTATCATCAGCATATAGATCTATTTGGGAAGATAACCCATAGAAAAGCAAGTTAATGATAAAAAGAATGAATGACAATGGGTCCAGAATACTTCCCTAAGGGACACCATGCTTAATCACAGAAGGTTCAGAGTCACTGCCATCAATAGAGACAACTCGTTGCCTGTTTATTAAATAGGATTGGAACCAATTGATGATGGGGTTTTAGCCACACTATAAGCCCCAAGCTTCATAAGAAGGATTTGATGTTCTTCCATGTCAAAGGTCTTTCAAAAATCAATCATTGTTAGAGCACTGATATGGTCTTTATTGAGATTAGTCAACTGATCAATAATCTTCACCAAAGCAGTTTCAGAGCTGAGCTGTTTGCTAAATTTAGACTGACCATGGTCAGATAAGGTTGTTCTCAGACAGACTGGCATAGAAACAGTCATGGATATAACATTCAACCACTTTTGAAAGCACTGGAAGAACTGATAGTGGGAAATTGGAACGATCATCTGTTTTGCCACCTTTAAACAAAGGAGTGACTTTTGCTTTCTTCCATCACTTAAGGAACACTCCATTCTCAATAAAAATATTTCTAAGCCAGGCAACAGAAGGCACTATTTCAGGAGCTGCTATCCTCAATAAATGTGATCTGATACAATGAATACCAACAGCTTGATCAGGACTGATACTCAGAAAAATTGTTTCGACAATGGATGGTTACTGTAGGAACAGGAAATAGCACATCAGGGTGTTTTCTTGAATTGACAAAGTTGTGTAGGTTGTCAAAATTCCAGTTGGCACTTGGCATAGTAGATCTTAAACTTCCAGCCGTGGATGCAAAATGTATGTTAAACAGATCGGCCATGCCTTTTGTGTCATCAATAATGCAGTCACCTTCTTTGAAGCAATTAACAGATTGTGCATTCTTTTTGCCACCTGTTAAAGATTTAATTGTCTTCTACATTGACTTGGAATTGTTCTTGTTGGCATCAAAAGCATCATTAAAATATTCACATTTAGCATTACAAATGACTTTGACAGCTTTGTTTCTCTCAACTTTATTTTTTAGTCATCAGAAGAACATGAAATCCTTGCAGCTTTGAGATTAAGCTATCTCTGAGATGCAGTTGATCTAAAGTGGGTTTGGACATCCAAGGAACTTGTTGAAGCTGTTTCATACATTTCTTACATCAAGGACAATGCTAGTCAAGCGCTGAGTTAAATAAGGATTCCCAGGATTCGAGCATATATTCTATATCATCGAACATAAAAACTGTATCCCAAGGGGCCTGTCTTTTTCAAAGTCTTTCATGTTCTGTTATTCTGACTTCCTTTAGTTGAAAGGAGCTTGAGGATTCTAGAGGAATTCTACTCCCCTTGTAACTAACTTGTTCTTCCTTTTTTTCCAGTTCCACTAGCCGGCCAACAGGCAAAAGTAATCACAAAACATACTGACTTGAAAGTCAGGCATTATGTTGGAGAGATGGGAGTAGATTTCTGGGACAAGCCCACTTGGGAAAATGAGTTCAATACATTCAACGTTCTGGTCATGACAGCTCAAATATTCCTCGACCTGCTGTTACATAGCTACATACTTCTTTCACAAGTGAATCTCCTAATCTTTGATGAATGCCACCACGCCAAGAAGAATCATCCTTACAGACAGATAATGCAGTGCTTCAGCAACTGCCCACAGCACCCATTACCCAAAGTTATGGGTTTAACTGCCTCAATAGTAAATGGAAAAGTAAAACCTAATAAAATCGAATCAGAGATCAAAGAGCTGGAACGCACTCTAAGATCTAGTTGTGAAACAAGTCAAGATAAAGATGTCGAAAAACATGCTGCTAAACCTGAAGAGCTGTTCCTTGTTTACCCAAGTAAGAGCACTGATGAAAACATGAACATTTTGATGGAAAAACTGTCAGATGTCTTAACACAAGGAATTGGTCTTCTTTGCAACAATCGGGTGTCCAGCCATGATGAAAATGCGCACTGGTATGCTAAGTTTGCCCTGAGGGAATGTAAGGAGACATTGGATGAATTGGGCCCTTGGGCTGCATTTAAAGTGGCAGAATACTTAATTAAGGATCTAGGTATGGTACAGTTTCAGTTTTAGAGATAAATGTAACTGTGCCCCAAGTTCAAGTCAAGTTTTGAAAAATCATAATACAGTCAACATGAACCAAATATTAGTTTCCAAAATGAAGGGGAAAAATCTCATGCCTCCATTTCCAAAAATTTTGGTCATGTAGGATTGTCTTTAAATTTTGCTTTAAATCATTACATCCTAACATCAGTATACATGTTCTCCAAACTGTTCTCTATACATTTCTTAAGGTGCTGACAAGGAGAACCTGTTTAACAATCAAGAGCTTCTTTAGGTGGCAATCATTTCCTAGATTCTTGTTACCTTATTGGTTGATTCAGGCTGGCGTTATATTGTAAGAAGAAATTGGATGCTATTCACTCTGAGGGTTAAAAAGTTCAGTCTACAAAATAGAGATTGAGAGTGTGCCAAACTCTCTGCTCATAAGACTGAATTATTCCAATTCAAGCAAAATTATCTTTGATCAACTGGAATGGAATGCACTTATAAACCTTGATCTTTTCTTGTAGACAGAGCATGCAAGATACAAAGCAGCAGAGAAGGACAAATGTTCTGTGAGTGTAGTGCCAACCAGCTGCGTCAACTGCAAAGAACTTACTGTAATTTTACTGAGAGTCATGGGTCTGAGGACAGTGAACATTGTTACTTCATGCCTAAACTTGAAAAACTTCTGAGTGTTTTCAGGGAGTTTGCTAACTCACAGCATGAAGGTAAGGAATACACTGCTGACTGCTTTATTTATGAAACTTACTTTTTTATCTCCTTCATGGAGACTAAAACAGAAGATTAGCAAAGTGGATATTTTTGCATTTCTTATCACAAGTTGACCCTTTCATGCCTAAGATCTCTCCAAACCTTCCATCTGCTACCCAGCTTCACCTTAAGGAAGATTTAGCCAATTGTTAATAATGATATAAATAATAATGATCTTGTAGGTTTATATTTGTTTTTTTGTTAATCCCTACACACTCAAAAGCAAGCTTTTAAATTGGATCTTTCTTGAAATCTGTTTTCTGAATTCAATGTGCAAGAATGGTTTTTGAATGCCACTCTGCAAAACAGCTTGGTGATCCCCAGTTTGGTTATTTTGCAGCATCTGAAGAGGACAAGACCCTCTGTGCCATTGTGTTTGTTGAAAGACGATACACAGCACTGATCCTCAGTAAACAGCTTAACATGGCTGCCAAACTAGATCAGGAGCTCTCATTCATCAAAAGTAACTTTGTGATTGGTCATGGCACAGGTGCAAAGGTTAACTACTCCAGTAATGCAGAGATGAATTTTAAGAAACAGGAGGAAGTGCTGTGCAAGTTCAGAAATGACAAGAAAAGACATGAATTCAATGTGCTGATAGCCACCTCTGTTGTTGAGGAGGGATTAGATATTCCCAAGTGCAATGTTGTCTGCAGGTTTGATTTCCCAAAGAATTACCGCTCCTATGTACAGTCAAAGGGCAGAGCTCGTGCCAAAGGTTCCAAGTACTACATGCTGGTGGATGAAAAAGAGCAAGTGGAAAAAGAGAATGAATTGGAGGTACATTTTTTAAAGTAATAAAGTCAGTAAAAATCCATACCTATCCTGTATTTTGGTGACTGTCATTGATATTGTTTAGCAGAGGTTGTAGAGCACCAGACTGTGGTGTGGGAGGTTGAGGGTTCAAGCCCCAGACTGAACCAACACTTAGGGTCTTAGAATAACTGAGAAGTGTGCTGCCTTTGCTAAGACATCTGCAAATAGTTAGACATTCTAGTCAACTCGAAAAAGGATAACAAGCCGTAAGCCTCATCTCCTCTGTAATGATTGGCAGGGGACATTAAGGAAACCATGCATTTCTTGCAAAGAATAGGGAATGTAGATGTCAGTCATAGTCTGGCCTTTTAGATTGTTTATACAGGCTGCCATTTAAACCAGCTTTAAGCTGAGCTGGGAAAGTTGGTTTGAATATTGCAAATGAACACATATCAGTAACCTGAGTGAATGACAGTAACAAATGTATACTCTTACGAAGCTTTTTAAAAATGACTTATATCCTAGATGTTGCGTGCTATTGAGGAAATCTTGTTGGAAAGATGCCATGATCGATTGGAGCCATCAGTGGAGGAGTGTAATGAATCAGTAGACACAGATTTCTTGCTGCCGTACATACCAGTAGACGGCAAGGGAGCTAGAGTAACTATGAGCAGTAGTATTTCTCTACTTTCAAAGTAAGTGCAAGGAATATATTAACTTTCAATTTTGAGGTGGTTTTAGATTTAAGATTACCGGTATTGGTTGAGTTGTTTATTGTTGAGTATTATGTAAGTGTAAAAAAGGAAGATGTGCCATTTATGGGTAACAAACTTTGGCTCCTATTGTGAAAGGGGTGATTTGTATTTACCATGAGTATTGCTGTAAAGCCAGCTGCTTGCTTCCCCACAAAACTCAAGATCACCCCGTAGCAACAACAAACTGATTAATAATTGACAGCTCTCCATTGTTCTCCTTTTCTGGAGGCAACTGGTACAATTTACTGCTTGTATTACCTCTTATTTTTCACCAAAAATCACTTGAAATTTGTGAAACTTCTGCAGGTAAAAGGATAAGTCTACCAGTTTCATGACTTTTTTTGTACCTGTTGAGTTCAAAATAAGGGATTACACTGCCTCTTTAAAAGCTCTTACACCACATCAACATAAAAGTTATGCTCTTTTAAATTTTAACTCAGGGTCTTATATTTAATATAGAGAAGATTAATTACTTATTATAAACTTTATAAACCTAGAATTATATCAATATTTCTACTTTTGTCATTTCAGGTACTGTTCAAAGCTTCCAGGAGACCAGTTTACTCGGCCCAAGCCAGTTTACAAGGTCAAAGAAATTGGGAAAGATGGTTACAAGTGTAAACTAACACTTCCAAGAAACTGTCCAATACATGAAGATATAATAGTGAGTTTGGAGGACTTCTCTTTTTTTAAATAAAGAAATAAAAAACCTACCACAGAAATATGCTTATTTTCACTGTCATTCTCATTGGCTATTGATAATGTTTATCTGTCTTCTGATTGGTTATTGGTACTCTGGTTTTGGTTTTGTGACTCTCAATTCAAAACTGCTCTCATTCTTTGAACCAAGTTTCAAGAAAAAGCATTGTAATTTAGCATGAGAATTGTTTGTTAGCTCTTGGGAATTACCCCAGTAACTCTCCAAGATTCTGTAAGATTCTCTCTACAAACTGCCATACATTTCCTTGTAAATTGGAGAGGAGAATATGGTTTTATATCAAGACAACACCTTAAAGGTGATAAACTTATAGGTTCTCATAACCTGTTTGCAATGCAAGATATTGGAATTACAAGGAGAAATTACATGTAAATCGCTCACATCAGAATCATCTCTCTCTGCATTTCATCAGGGTGAACCAATGCCAAGTAAGAGCCAAGCCAAGATGGTCGCTGCGCTCAGAGCCTGTAAGCTGCTTCACGAGATTGGTGAACTTGATGATGACCTGTTACCAAAGCAGACTTTATCTGATGAGGAAAGTGATTTGGAAGAAGAAGAAGCTGCAGCTGAGTCCGGCGGAAAGAAACCAAAAGCTGGAACAAAGAAGAGAAGACGACAGTATATGAGAAAGGTAAGTAGTTGAATGTCACAAATTTGGCGTGTGACTTACACTTACATATTAAACTGTTAACTTACATTTCAGTACAATGTTGCTCACAATGCACTGTCTATTCATAAATTTGGTCAGTCAGCTAGAGGGTCTGCCTCTCCCTGAATAATTTTTATTGGCCCCATTTTCATCAAATTACAGTCAGTGTAAAACCAAGGTTAAAATGCAGACTGAGGGTAAAATGCAGACTGAAGACTACAGACCAGGGTTAAAATGCAGACTTGGTTCTTTAGTTGAAATTAATGAACATTTTTGGTTTCTCTAAATCATTAAACTTAAAAGGAACATGAGACTTCTGTTTGCTAGTTTGTTTCAATTTTGGGAAGACTGCCATTTTTCCAATGAATAAAAATACGTCACAGCAAAATTAAATTTCCGAAGCAACCCTTGTCAGCCAACGAGAAGCCCAACATAGGTTAAGTTGACCATCATAGCCGCAGATTTACCTCGAGTTGAAACTAAAGTGAAACACCAAGCGGAATAAGAGAGGCAAACATCCGGGCCAGGTTGTTCAAAGCTAGGTTAAGATAACCCAGGGTTAGCGTGAAATCTGACCTCAAATCTGAAAGCTTTAAAGGCATATTCAGTATATTTATTTTTGCCTACAATTTGATGCTTGGGTGTTCTAAAAAGAATTGAAGAAATTATCTGAAATAGGCCTTTGAAGAAGGGACTAAAGAAACCCAGATTAAAACTCAGTAACCCCGGGTTAGCGCTAATCGGCCTTCGAACAATTGGGCGTTGGGGGTATTGTTTGGAGGTTTTTTATTAGATCCTTATCTCGCACCCACAAATTTGCATTGAATTCAAATAATTTGCACGCCTAACTTCGCAACGCAAAACAAAGGTGCGAGAAAAAGGTTTTAATTTTCCAAGTAATCGAAACTGCCGATGTGTGATGAAAGTCTATCGCTTCTACTTTCAAGGCCAAACAAAGTATACATGAGCTACATGTATGTTAAAGCTATCTTGTTGCTCAGTAGAAGTGTTTATTCCTTAACATGGGAAATGTATTAAGCTGGCTGTGAACCGCATATTCAAACACTTCAATTTCTCGTTCTTACCTTAAAACAAAATGTCAACGCCAAAACCATCTGAGGAAATCAATCGCCGTGACAATTATTGCCAGGTTCTCATGACTTACGCGGCCTCGATCCAGCTCACTCTTGAAACTCTTTTCCGGGGAAGCGGGCGGTTGTTTTAGAACCAAGTCTGCATTTTACCCTTGTTCTGCAGTCTTCAGCCTACATTTTATCCTCAGTCTGCACTTTAACCCCGTTCTGTAGTCTGTAGTCTGCGTTTTACACTGAGCGACCCAATGATAGCCAACCCAGTGATCAAACGTCGGGCATGCGTGAGGGGATCAATCCCGGCCGGTCATGAGCTAATTTCCCGCTCGAAATTTGAAAGGAAAACATAAGAAACAACCGCAGTCTCGCCAAATAAGTGACAGAAAATTGAAAGAAAAAATGAGAAAAGGAAAACTTGAGACTTTTCAATCTAAGTTTATTCAAGTACGGGTATCCAGTTAATTTACCATTCTTTTTTTAGCTTTAATAAAAAAAAAGTTCTTCGCTTCTAAAACCCCGTGACTTAGTGACTTGGGGGGTGTTTGTAATTCGAGTGAGACAACTTAGTTCTAACAGTCCTGAAAGCATGGGACTTAGTTATCACAACGTTCGCACATGCGTAGACGTTTGACCCCTGTGTTGGTGCGGCCGAGGTAAGACCCAGTCCGCTTTTATCGTAAAACATTGTGTTAAGTCCATGCGCGGTGGGGTGGGCGGGGCCGGAAAAAGCTTTACGACGGTGCATACGGCCTCGCCAGGTGCGAGCTGAAAAAAGGAGGGAGGAATGAAGGAGAGCGGCTATCATATGATGAAATGCTTATTGGTTGATTTAAGCCGGGCCGCACGGAAAAATATTTCTTTCTTGGTCATGACATACGCACGTTGCTGTGCTTGGTTCGTAACTACTTAGGACCGAGAGCAAAATACTCTCCAATTCGGCCCTCTCACTCAGCCAATTAGCATATACTATTGCAACCTCGTTCCCAGGGCCTTTTCCCTTAGTTAGGGGCGGAGTTGGGGGAGGGGAAAAGGCCCTGGAAGCGAGGTTGATACTATTATACCCCAGATTACCCCAAAGATTTCGTATGACTGAGTATACAGCTTATTTTCTGTAGCGCCGTTGGTAGAGCGTTCGACCATGAAACCCATGCTCGAATCCCAACGTTGAGCGCAAGTTTCTCCTTCGGTTCATGCTCTTGACAAAATATTTACACCTTCTTTACCTGGCCCCGGTTGTTCTGAGGTTGGATACCACTATCCACCGGATAAAACTCTATCCGGTGGATAACGCAGTATGTTTTGCTATCACTTATCGGCTGGATAGCGATTTATCCGTTGGATAGCGTTATCCGCCCTTTACACTGCTAAGCCCAGATGTCTTGTTCTTGCCCAGGTTCCGGAAGTATTTGTCAGCAGCTTGGTACAGGATGGTCAGCCCCAGTTCCTCACGACCATCACCATACAAGTCACTAAACTTACTCAGCCACAAGAGTTTGTCATTAGTGAGCGACTGTTCCTCGATAAAACTTGCACGTTTGGAATGCTGACAACGAAAAGAGTTCCTTGGGTTGGTACTTGATTATATTTCATTTGTTGTCAAGTAACCGAATTCTGTTGAGCAATTTTCAATCCAGTGTCGCTCTGTGATTGGTCCAGAAAACTCGAACCTCTCTTTCAGCCGATCAGCTGCAAAACTAAAACCATTCACGACTTGATCGTCTGCATTTTCCCGCGCTTTAGGCAGTTTGGTTGTTTTACTTTGGATTCTCACTAGCTACTAAAGGTCCCCGATTAAAAAATACACCACTTTTACCACACACACTATCAAGGACCTCGCAGTTTAAAATAGGAACGATTCTTACTTTGTAGGACACTGAGAGTGCGTAGTAACAGGCAGTCAGTTTTTTTGACCTGTAAACCTTAGCAACAGTCGGCCCTTCGAAAAATAACAATTGTGAGGTTCTACTCCTTAAACGATAAGACTTGCTCAAAATATTGACCTAAATTAGGGTTTGACTGCAGATGTTGCCCTACATTTTACAATGAAATTTTTTCACTCTTCAGATACGATCGTTCAAACTGTATCCTAACTATGGCGAAGTCACGGTATCCTTGCAGTGTCACAGATCTCCTTTGCCGCGTGTAAACATCACTAAACAAGAGTTAAACATTCTTCGCAAGTTTCATCTCTTTCTCTTCAGTCACGTTCTACGCTCTCCTGTGGAATTCACACCAGAAAGTGTGGATGGTTACTTCATTGTTATGTTGAAGGCTTCAGGAAGGAGTATTGACTTTGATTGCATGAGAGAAGAGCTTTCGCGTGCACCCAAACAAAGCCGTGGAAATCAGCCCATCGTCGTAGACTCAGCGGTAACAAAAAACTACGTTGAATCTCCACAAAAGTACGCTGTTTTGAATGTTCGTGGCGATCTGACTCCGATGTCTCCATTCCCAGAAAAGTCGCAGGGCAACACTTATGAAGAATATTTTCGCCTTAAATACGGAGAAAGGGGATGCATTGCGAACAAGCATCAACCTCTTGTTGAAGTGAAAGAGCTCTCCGCTAGAGTGAATTTTCTTGTGGACCAAAAACGAGGAACAAAAAACAAGCGAGATGTGATTTGTCTTGTTCCAGAGTTGTGTGACGATATTCCCATTCGCGCTTCCCTTCTCAGCGTGTCTCAGATTCTACCATCTATTCTTCAGCGTGTCACCTCCCTCCTTCTCGTTGCCGATCTCAAGGCCATGGTTACTGATGTACGCAACACAACAGATGAATCAACCCTTCCTCCCATTGGAGCTGAAGAGGGCTCAAGAGAAGCGCCCATGAAGGTTGAAGACGATACTTGGGACCCTGAAAAAGATGATGCCCTTTTCCCCGGCATCAGGTTGATGTTCCCTCACAGTCCACCATCTGCTAACCACCCCGACTCCTTTCTCGTTCTTCAAGCTATTACCACCACCCACAGCGGAGATGCATTTAATCTGGAGAGGCTGGAGATGCTGGGGGACTCATTTCTGAAGCTGGCCGTGTCTATTCATCTCTTCTGCACATACAGCGATAAAGACGAAGGCAAGCTGACCCGACGTAGGACAAACCAGATTAGTAATTTAGCGTTGTACCGAGCAGCGGCCAAGAAATCTCTGGGCGAGTATCTCCAGAACACGCAGTTGGCTCGCGACGTTTGGTGTCCTACGGGATGTCAGTTTGGCGACGTACCACCGAATCGCACCACAGGTAGCCCACCCATGGAAGTTGACAGCTGGGACACGGTCGAGGCGATGAAAGTTGACGAGACCTCAGAGAGTGGAAAGAAGACAAAACTTACTGCTACAGAGCATGCGCGCCAGAAATGCAACACTCAAATGATAGCGGACAAGTCCATAGCTGACAGCATCGAAGGACTTATCGGAGCGTATCTAATATCCTGTGGTTATCTTGGCGCGTTGCGATTTATGAAGTTTCTGGGGCTAAAAGTTTTACCTGAAGTTGTCGTCAAAGTCGACACTGATCCGCGGGCGGAGAATAGTAAATCGGGTTGCTATGCTAGATTTTGGCCGGATCAGACAAAAATAACAGCAGCGCAAGATAAAGGAGATATGGTTTTCCGCCTCACTTCTGGCCTGGAAAACTTTGAAAACGAATCAATCTCGTACAATTTCCAGCACAAGTTGTATTTGGTAGAAGCGCTAACCCACGCGTCCTACCACGAAAACCGTGTCACGCCAAGTTACGAAAGACTCGAGTTCCTCGGCGATGCTCTGTTAGACTTTTTGGTCACGCAACATTTGTACTTCCGTCACGTCAACTTGTCACCCGGAGAACTGACCGATATACGACAGGCCTTGGTGAACAATAACATCTTTGCCGCCCTTGCCGTAAAACACAGCTACCACAAGTATCTGAAGCATATGTCTCCAAAGTGGTTCCAAACGGTGAAGAACTTTGTTGACAGAGTGGAAGATGAGGCAGAAGAGAGGAAAGACAATCGCCTTCAAACAGTAGGGTGAACTTTATTCTTTAATCCTTTACATCAGTTTTCTTATTCTCCATTCTGTCCTCCATACATTTCCTAAGGTGCTGACAAGGAGAATTTGTTGAACAATCAAGAGGCTCTTTCGTTGGTGATGGAGACGTTTCCTGTATTCTCGTGACCTTAACATGTGATTTAGGGCCGATATTGAAAGGAGAAATTAGGTGCTAATCACTCTTATGGGCCAGAGGGTTAATGAATATTTTCTCCAGTTGATTTATAAGGTATGTTTCTTCGTTAACAATTATTTGGCAGGTCACCGCTGACCCATTTATTATCGTGTCTGAAGAAGAAGAAGGAATCGAGGCGCCTAAAGTTCTTGGTGACATCTTTGAATCAGTAGCAGGCGCGATATTTTTGGACAGCGGTATGGATTTGACTAAAACCTGGGGTGTGTACTACCGCATGATGAAACCCTACATCGGTAAGTTGGCCATCGCCACCCGCGAGGGTGGATCAACCTCCCATCCTTAAAAGCCTTATCAGCGGAGAGCTCCGAAGTTTTTTTCGCAATAAGCAAGAAAAGGATTGAGAATGAGTCAGAGAAAGTACATTCAGCATGGAGTTTAAGAATTCAACCCAAGCTATCAACTCCAAAGTGTAAAGGAAGGCACTTGAATAACGAACCTAGAGGAAAGCACTAGAAATATTCATTGATATGATTTTTCTATTCAGATCATTACTCAGTGAACATACCGCGAAATCCCATCAGACTTGTCTACGAGGAAGACGGGAAGGCTGACTTTGGGTGAGTGTACAGTTCAGTACAGTTATGCCGGGTTGGTTGACTCTCCCTGCATACGTCTCAGACTAACTGCGCCAAAAGTGAAAACAATTTTTTGAGGGTAATGGACTGCATTTTTTCCAAAAACGATATTTATGAACTGTGGAAGCAGTCTTTAAAAACATTGTTCATTAAAGAGTGGCAGAGTGCGGGAGACCTTTTCAAAAACATTGGCATGTGCACGTGTACAGTGCTAGAATTATGCTAAAATGGCGGAAAATAAAACTGTTCGGCGTAAACGAAGCGCAAAAATAGTGTGGCGCAACATGAAATTTTCAACATTATATCTCGAGATAGGGAGATATTGAGAAAGATAACACAGAATTTCGGCAGTGGCTCGGTTTTATTTACCAAATTGCATGATCTTACTCCTACAAAAAAGTTCACTAGTCCGCCGTTCACTAGTAAAAGCGTTACTGGCTTTTTCAGGCGCGTCTTCTCGTGTGCGCTACTTTCATCTCACGCGCGTATAACGAGTCAAAGAGGCCTTGTTTGCCAATCGGTTATCAAACAATGGGTTCTTGATCACGAATTTTCATTGTTTTTTTTTTTTTTGTTTTGTTTTCTCCAGGAAAGCGGTGACCCTTGATGATGGAAAGATTCAGCGTACTCTGAGCGTGTACTGGGGAAAGTACACTGGAAAAGGACCGAACAAGAAGATTGCTAAAGCTACAGCCGCCAAGCTTGCTATTGAAGGACTGAAAAAGAAATCTTCAGAAGAGAACGCCGCGGTATATATTAGGCAGTTCGCAGAACCACATCAGCATAAGACTCGAAAGCGAAAACTCAACGAATTATTTACAGGTATTCCAATGAAAATCCACAAATGTTCCAGTAATCAAGCCGAGTAAACATCCAGTTGGGCAATAAGGAACCTTTAACGAGAGAAATTACAATACACACAAAACACGATGGAACTTACCGACTGTTTCGATTTTAGAGTGACCGTAACTCAACAATTATGGTTAGCAAGACATGCCAGTACAAACACGCGACTAGTTCGTTTTCGACAAAGCACATGGCCGATGTCCCGGATGTTGACGTCAAACTGCAGGCACGCAACAGGAGCTACAGTATACGAGGAAGATTAAGTTTCAGTGTGGGCTTGGAGGACATCAATATTGAGGCAAAGGTGCTTTCTTAGATTTGTGTTGTTGAGATAATGCTGTGGAACACTGTTTATAGGAAGTAGGTTTTCGTATGTGCCTATGCTTATTAATGTGTATTACCTTCCGCTATGAGTATTCCTCTCTAGGAACTACGTTTATGTAGGTGACGTATCTTGAATGAATGTGAGTCGTTTAAGATTACTTTGTTTACCAATGTCCCTTAAGTGTTGTCATTGACTTTCTCAGACATCGACATTTGTCTAGAGGTTTGCATTATAAATACGGCTTTGAAATATTTTGTATATACATTTTATCTTTTAACTAACTTTTGTTTTTAACTGGAGGGTGTCCATGACAATTCAAAAGATTTCTATTTACTTTTTATCTGTTAAATGACTCTTGCTTTTATCTTGTGGGCGTCAGGGCGTCGTCGCTAACAATTTACGGAAAAGAGAGAAAACCCGAACTAAGCAAAAGAACAGCAAAACAAATCGGAAGAAAAACAGAAAACTTTGAAAGCAACAACGTTAAAAGAAGTAGTGATTTGGCATATGAGTTTAGTTGATGAAGATAAAATTTTAGTTATAAAATCGCTTCAAGAGAATCAGGCATTTCCTTTTAAAGATTTTTTTACCAATTTTAAGTGCAGCATGTAAGAATGCAAGACCGATTTTGGTAATCGCGATATGTGTTTTCATTGTAAGTAGTGTTATTGAAATAAAATGGAAAGTCTTGTGTAAAATAACTATACATATATGAGAAACCTCCTAAAAAAAGCCGCCTAACTCCGTAATAAATAATAATTTTTACTAGCATAAATTTGCTTGAGTTTGTATTACAAATGGTACGTTACTCGCTCCGTGACAGATAGTGAGCTAAGCCGCTGTCATAGGAGGATAAGCAGAAATGCTTCAGAGACCGAAATAAGCTCTCACAGGTCGAACCCCAGTTTGGTTTCTGCACCAAATTAAAATTATCGCTTCTGCTATTCATCAACCATGTGACCTATTATTCCTTACTTCCTTAAAAATCTATTGGTTGAAAATAACAAAGTCGTTCGCTAACATGGCGGACGTGCCTTTTGTCTCAAGCATAAGAGTTCGTCAGATACTTAGCAGTGTCATAGCTACTTCGCTTGCACAAAGTGAGAAGAAGTGAAAGTCTATGTAGCTTGAGAGAAATCTGTTTAAACTGGATGTTCATTTTGCTGATTATTCTAAACCGTGAAACGTACCTCGTTGTAGTTAGAAGTCTGTTTCTTTTAGAAGTCAGCACACCGTTCGTCGCACAGTGTTACATGGGTACTGTGAGCACCAGGTAATGTGCAAGACACTCTTTGCCAAGAACAGCCGTACAAGACGCCACCTTGCTTTAAACTTAAACCATTTTCACCATGCGTTGTCTCTCAAGTTTGAATTTGTGTTCACTCAGGTTCACGCCTGTGAATGCAGGTGCACATGCCTTTGTGAGAACGCTACTGTCTGTAAGCGATACGGATTTTTCAGTGTTTTAGCAGCCATAATCCAAAAAAATTCCGACAAACCGTGACGACCTTGGATTGAGAATGGTGAGGGCTTCATTCCACAATCTGACCGAGTGGCGCGAGGGGCGAGTTTGCTGCCGACGCAGCCATCGGAAAATCACCGCGCACGACGGAATGGAAATCGCCAAACATGATGCTGTAGTGAGAAGGCTGTACCAAAACGATACAATGCTCTCTGCGACATACGATGACGAAAGTACAATGGACATCACCCAAAACGTAATTATAACCGCTTACGTTTTCTTGATAGTCACAACCTCCGTGTGCCGCGTGGCCAGTTTTAAAGCGAAGAGACGGTCAAAGCTTATGGCAGTCGCAGTCCATAAGGATACAGGCCCCAGCGTGTAACCCACAATAAACGTGGTGGTCTCTTCGACCCGGCATAAGTTCCAATCTAGGTGGATAACGAACAGCAGATAGACGACGTCCAGCGGCTCTAAAAGAGGCCCAACTAAAAGACATGTGTCCCCAAATTGCAACCTAAGATTTTGATCCTTTAAGATCCATAGAAATTTCTGAGTCTTCATTCCAGCAGTAAACGGATGAATTTGGGTAAACAGATCCCTCTGGTGACAGATCAGTACTGCAGATCATGTTGCTAAACGATTCAGTCGCAGACAAATTAAGGACTTAATTAATAAAATTTTATACTTAAATTGAAATGCGGTTTCCACCAGAGACAGTCAAAACTTTTCTTGTTTCATCGATAACTCCCTTAACAAACTTTCAGACCATCAGTCAAATACTCAGTTTGCGACAAGAGTCACAGTAAATCAAAACATTTATGGAGGGAAACATAAGAGAAAAAAGAAAGAACAAAATAAACCTTTCGAAAACGCAGACATTTTTCAATAGTTAGGATGCTCTGAATGAATGGCTTTACCGACATCTTCACTCCCCCCTCCCCCCCCTCCCCCCACCTTACTTGGGCAATAATTAGCTCCCAAAACAACCGTTTTAAAAGCAGTTGTTTATACTGGCTGCCCTGTGTTTACATTATAAACTAAATGGATCCTCTTGAGCAGAGAGGAATTTCCTCTGGCTAACCGTATTGCGGTCACGCATTTCTGTACACGCACAAGTTCACTGTGCACTAGAATGATTATGATCGCCAGGCAATCAATTTTCCACACTCGGCTCTTTAGGAAACCTACAATCAAACCGTTGCAAAGAAAGACCCTTGTACCGTCGCCCATAGAGGGGGTTGCGCGTTAAATGAAAAATTATCGCGCAATAAATGAGAAACTTGTTAGCTAGTGCGTGATCGGCTGTCACGCACGTTGTTTCCGAGGACAAGATGGCAATGGCTGCAACAGTTGGAAAGTTCTTTCTTAGTCCATAAATTTCAAACCTGCAAGCCATCTTTGACAGTGTCTCGTAAGATTTCGCAAAATCAAGGTTTACTGTACTGATTCACAGAGGTGTGTGTCGTAGAAGTATATTAGAAAGTACTGCTAAATGATCTTTTCATGAAAATAAAACGAACTATTGTAAACATACCTACGGTGATACCTCCTCAACTGTGGCAGCCATTACCGTCCGTGGAAACAACGTGCGTGACAGCCAAACACGTGCGACCTCACAAGTTTCCCATTTATAGCGCGATAATTTTTCATTTATGGCGCGATAATTTATCATGTATCGCGCGTTAAAAAAATGTGGCATGTCCTCTATGGGCCACCGTACCCTTGCCTCTACGTAACTATTACTAAATTTATTTCAAAGTTATTAGGCAAGAAATATTTCCAACACATTGCTCCCGGAAGTTTTATACAAAGCTTTTTAGCTGTTAAAACTGCTGCAAACTGACGGTTGAGAAGGATGCTCTCAGTAAACTCTCTTTAGCAATTAAGGTATTGATCTGTTTGTTCAGCCCGAGGGAGCTCTGGAATAACATGTTGAAGTGGAAAACGTCTCTTTTCGGATGAAATATCGTACGAAACGCATAGTCTAACAGTTTTAAAGTCGGGTTCATACAACGGTAAAAAAGTTTGAGATATAAGCACTTCTAAGCGAATGACTATGCAAGATTTTTATCCGGTCAAAGTCCAGTTTCGTTTTTTACAGTGTTTTGTGGTTTGAGCTCTTCTTCTTTTGGTTGATTCAAGACTTTAAGCATTTGCCACTGAACCATGGTGAAGTTGGAACTCGACACGAATCAGTCGCACATACAGCGAAGAAGGGAGAAAAAAAATAATTAAATGACCCTTGACCCTTAGATTAGATATCGCCCAAGTTCGCCTTTTATATCTCTGGCTCACCCCTGCACGACCTGTGTCGGCTTCCTGGTCCTGAACTGTAAATTGTTTGTAAATGGCTAGAGAGAGAGCGGTAGTGCCAGTCCCTTGTATTATCCGTGGTTGTTGTGCTATATTCGAACAAAGTAAAGAGAGATAGCGGCTTTTTTTGACGAGGTTATTCTCATTGAATATTATGAGGCTGAGTGAAAGCAGTTCAAAATTAAGTTTTTAAGCCTTTCCCGCTACTTTGATTTGTTACAATGGTCTAAAATAAGCTGGAGATCAATAGTAAGGTGTCCATAATCGAACGCTATCGCTATCGCTATCGCATGCCTCGTCACCAGCTCTTAGTCTTACAAATTAAATGCCGCCCTCGTTGATTTTCTTGTTATGATTTGTTCTCACTTAGATTGGTTCTTTATTCATTGTTTTTATAAAGATTAAAAGAATTAGAGGAATGTTAAAAGTGGCTCGAAACATCAGAGTTTAAAAATTCGTTACGACGACTTCATACTTCATCAGCTTTGGAGTGTTAAATATAAATAGGTCCTCAGTGATTGACGTCAATCCTTTTCTCAGAATTTCCGTGGCACTTGGAATAAAGTCGCTGAAATGGGTTCAACACAGAAGAGAAAAATCCATCATAAATATGCAGCGTTTTTATGGCAGTGCTATTTCCTAATTCTTTGAGTATCTTCTTGTACCGAGTGAAACAACCTTTGCCTTCAAAAAGGAGACAAACAAATTAGTTCGTAACGTTATGAGTATATTAACTAGATTCCAAATGGCAAACTTTTGGCGTAACCTTTAAGGTTAAGGAGGCGTTCGCAGAAGCACCGGTCACCCGTTTGGACTTACAGCTGTGTAGAGTTCTTAAAAGTTTGGGAATAAATATTCAAGTATGCCCGAATTAAACATCGATCTTGTTTCCCTTGCAAAAAAACTTTGCCTTCTCGCTTATTAAAAAAAATTTCACGATTTTGAAAATTTCCTTGGGAAAATTCTGCCCTCTATTTACCATAGTGAATAGTTAACTGACATCATCAAGCACCAAAAAAATATGGCACACTTTCTTTTTAAATGAAAGATGTTTTTAAAGCAACCATTTAATTAATATACATGGTTGAATTCCATAATCAAATGCGCCACAATTTGCTTTTAGCGCGTGAAATTGTTGCATAGCTGGAAATGTTTCGAACCAAAGCCAGCCATGTGTAATTATTTATAGATCTTTTGTTTTTCCTTTTTTCTTTTTTTTTTTTTTTTTATGATTTTTTGTTTTGACGTATTCAATTTTTTCCCAGAAATCGATACGAGGTACTTTCTCGGAAAACGTTAAGATGTCATGGCCATATTAAGATGTCATGGCCATATTGACAATGGATGGTGTTACTGTAGGAACAGGAAGTAGCACATCAGGGTGTTTTCTTGAATTGACAAAGTTGTGTAGGTTGTCAAAATTCCAGTTGACACTTGGCAAAGTAGATCTTAAACTTCCAGTCATGGATGCAAAATGTCTGTTAAATAGATCAGCCATG